CCCCCTTATTTTTTTTTTATAAGTAACGACATGGGAATACCCATAATATGGAACTCTCATTTGGCAATGACTCAAATGTGAACATTCAACTGATTGGTCTTACCTTTCCATCGTATGTGCTCCAGTTCCAGGAAAACCCCGGCTTGTGATTAACCACACTCAGATGAATACTGCTCTCATTCAGTGGCACCCCCCTGTGGACACATTTGGACCCCTTCAGGGCTACCGTCTAAAATTTGGCCGCAAGGATATGGAGCCACTCACTACTCTTGAGTTCTCTGAAAAAGAAGATCACTTTACAGCTACGGACATCCACAAAGGAGCATCGTATGTCTTCAGGCTCTCAGCCAGAAACAAAGTGGGCTTCGGGGAGGAGATGGTGAAGGAGATTTCTGTTCCAGAAGAAGTACCAACTGGATTTCCTCAAAACCTTCACTCAGAAGGCACCACTTCAACCTCCGTCCAGTTATCTTGGCAGCCACCTGTCCTGGCAGAGAGAAATGGCATTATCACCAAGTACACCCTTCTGTATAGGGATATCAACATCCCCCTTCTTCCAATGGAGCAGCTTATTGTTCCAGCTGACACCACTATGACACTCACTGGCTTAAAACCAGATACCACATACGATGTAAAAGTACGTGCTCACACGAGCAAAGGGCCCGGGCCATATAGTCCCAGTGTCCAGTTCAGGACACTGCCTGTGGATCAAGGTAGGATTTGTCTGCTTATGGCCTTCCTCCTTTAGAAGGAATGTCAGTCTTTGGAAATCAGTATTTTGAAGCTATAAATAACTGATCGGCCCATTCATATTAATATGTTCAGCAAAAACAAAAAGGTAAAGTATGTAAAACTTAATACGTTTCGGATGCCTTAGATTTCAGTTATAGAATGTCAAGCAAGTCTGGCTGACAGCACTGCAATGTCCTCAGGTAAGGAAAACACAATCTAGTTGGCTGAATTGGAGAGAAAGGAGAGATCTTTATGAGAATGGGGTGTTAAAATGAATGCTCTAAACAGGTAGGCAAATCATTCTTCTCTCTCTGATCGAAGAAGACAGCATCTAAGCATAAGCTCTGTGGTCCATGGTGAAAAAGGACAGGTCGTAAGTTTTTAGGAATAGTTTAAATACACTGTTTTTCCTTTTCCAGCAGTGTTTGCAAAAAATTTTCATGTCAAAGCAGTAATGAAGACTTCAGTGTTGCTGTCTTGGGAGATTCCAGAGAATTATAATTCTGCCATGCCTTTCAAAGTAAGTCGTTTTCTAATTTGTAAAAAATCACAGGTAAAAGTGGAGGGGACAGTTTATCTGGGTAAGTCATTTTCAAAGCACATAGACCGCATGTGCTCACTATTCTCATTTGTGACTTTCGCGTAGGAGACTGAGTTGCTTTGGCAGCCTGACCTTTCTTCTCTAAAGAGGGACAGGAGCTCAGACCCAGAGATGACATTAGTTGTAGGTTACTTACTTCTTTGAACTTGAACTTTTTACATCTAAGCTAGTGGTTTTGTTTTTTTGCAAGAGAATGAAATTTACATAGTTTCTACCTATTTATGATGCAATATGCTGGCAGTTTTTGAATTTCATTGGTCTGAATTCTTTTAAACTGAATTCTTTCAAACATTGGTCTGAATTCACATTTTAAACTCTGGCTTGCCATTGTGACATATTTAGAGATGTTAGCAAGAAGTACAGGTTAGTTTATGAAATAAGGAGTAGAGAAACATTTTTGAAAGTAAAAATGTATCTAGGAATAGAAATTGAAACATTTAAAAAAAAGGTGATATGGATAATACATTGAAAACCTAAAACATTTCTATACACTTATTAAAATCTCATATAGCTGACAAGCAAAATATTTAAAAGTTATTATATGTATCTTTGCTGTATATTTT